TTATTTCGTTTAATAGTAAAAATTAATAGAATATAATTAGATGGATAGGTCTTATAATTGTTATAAATAAAGTTTTCAGTATATTAAATAAATCCTTTTTTTAAATTATAAATTAATTTAATAATTTTGGCCAAAATTATAAACGCATAATTTAGCATAATTTATTTTATTACACATGTATAATTTGGTATTTACGTAGCATAATCCTGAACACTCTAATCGTAATGTCGTATTGAATATCGTATTATGCAATCTGGAGCTTAGGAAGTACAAGACCTGTTTTTAGCTAGAATATGGAGTAAGCTAGTATAAATTTGCTAATCTTTTCGTTCGTATAGTATTTTTTTTCAAAACATTCACTGAGATATTATGTAAACAGAAAACTGATTTTTATACAAAATGAAAGGCCCGTTAAAAGGTCTCCTAGATGGTCTTCTAACAAGGTCTTTATTTGTATTTACTGTTTTAAACCTGTTTTAACTCGATTTTTGTGATTGCAGATATACTGAAATTATATTAGGTTGTATCATTTTAGGCGAAAAGAACGCATTTTCTGATTTCAATACAGGCAAGACCATAGGATATCTCAAGATAGTCATCAAGGAGCAGGCAGGATTGGATAGTCCCGCATACAAACTGAAATTATGGAAAGTCAATATTCCTGAAAGCGAGAAACATAAGATATATGAAGGAATCGACGTCAAAGTAAAGTTTGGAGGTGAGGAACTTAACAGTGACCTCAAGATTATTGGAGATTATTTTAAAGGGCAACCTGCTGTTAAACACATCCACATCATCGTGAAACTGCCACTGCTCGCCACCACTGGTAAGTGTCTCCCAATAGTTTACCTCTCAAACAAGAAATTTGCAGTAACAAAACATTGACAGAAGCGATACGCAGATTCAGGTATGTTTTGACACAATGATGAGCTCAAAACACTAGAATATACTGATGATATTCATAACTATAGAATCTGTTGATACAGAACCAAAATGAAAAAAGGATACCCCTACGTTTGAAAATTTGATTGCTGACCTTGGAGAGAAAATCTCTGTTGGTAGACCCCTAGAACTTTATCCTCGTCCTAATATCGCCGGGCGTCATCTCTTTTATAGAGCGGTCTGGTCCATAAGTCAGTCCTTGAACCTGTCATAATAGTTTACTGTAATGATAATGTTCGAAATAAAAATATCAGAATAACGAGATTAAGAAGGCACAGGAATCGTTTTATATGCAATTATTTTATTATACTTTTTTATTTAATTTATACAATTATTTAATTAAATTGATCATTTATATTTTTCTAGTATGTTCTAAACCGATCCTTGAACCAGTCTTATAAATCAGTCAGGTTCGAGAAAAAAAACAAATCTTGGACTAGACCAGACTGGTAGGACTGAATGGTACAAGACCGGTCTTAGGATCGGTCCTAGAACTGACTTATGGATCAGTCCAGTCCAAAGAAAGATGAAAGACCGGTCTTTTTAGACTGGACTGATCCAACAATGGATCGTAATTTTACACAGCTTGTTGTATCAATAGATTCAGCCTCTGGACAATATAACGATAGTATTAATAAGTCTGCTAGAGCAGAAGCAAAGCGACTTATCATTTTAGAATTTACTGTATGGATTCTCCATCTCATTATTCTCAAAAAGAAGTTCCCAGATATTACACCTTGTGACTATCTTCTATTCTAGCTCAATGGCAGACAACAAAGTATCAAAATAATTAGAGACAAATTGAGGCTTCTTAGACTTGCATTTTATGACCTGAAATCAATTATTACGTCTGCTTTAAGATTCTTAAAGGTAATAATCTATTGATTAAATTAATAAAATTGCATTTACTCTTATAATGTACATTTTAATTTATTTGCAATATATATAACAGATTGAATTACCTGGTTAAAAATCACTTATTTTTGTCATTGATGAATCCAATATTGCCAGCAATAAACTTTTTAGTGGTTATTTTATCAATATAAATCAACATCCACGTGGTTTATTAATGCCAATTATTGAGATTCTTAGATTGTTTAAGATTTCAATAGTAATTGCTGGCAGTAAATATCTTGTTGGTCATTTCCGTCTGGTTACTCGCCTTGTTAAAGAAATTATAGATGCAGAAAATCTACAAGAAAGCAAATATGCTGTGCTTGAAATCGCTGTAAATAAGACAGTGCAATTAGTTAAGAATGGAATGACATGCCATCTTGAAAAATTGGCAACTGAAGCATATGAAAAGGAAGATCTTAGGAATGTAGCATTACGAAAAATCTTGATGACACTCTTTATTTTTTTTTTTTTTTTTTTTTAACGATGTGGTACTGTCATAAGTTTATTATATTCATGTTATAACATTATAAATAAAAATTTAAAAAATAAAAAGATTAAGAGTAAAAACAATAAAAAATTAAACTATGACTATCCCCCGTGATTCTGTTGTAAATCCGTTTGGATTGACCAATCACCGGATTGATGACACTCTTTATTAACTGCCGGTATGTACTTAACATATTTATTGTTATTCTTAAACTGATAACTCATTATAGTAAAACAATATTTCAAGATTCTTTGATAGTTATGTATCTAAAAATTCTAAAAGTGAAATAGATGATGATTCAGTCAAATTAGTCGACTGTGGTATTGCTTCATTAACATCTGACAAATATAAAAAATTTTGGCAAGTCAAGGAACCTTTGGCGATAGAAACTGTTAAACTTGTCCTTCATTTCTAGTATATATCACCTACTGAACCGTTGATTAATAAACTCTTTAAAGAATTATGACATTCTGTTGATTATGATGACAATTCAAATACCTTTAAAGGCATCATGTGGCAGTATTTTGTCATAGGAAGATTAATGGATTTTAAAAATAAGACAGTTTTTGATTTTGTTAATGAAATCTATGGCAACCAATCACATCTGCCAGAATGGACTAAAGAAGCAATTATCAACATTAAATCATATGGAAATTTACAAATGTTTTTTCAGCATGATGAAACATTGAAAGATGATGTAGATGTTATCAATAAGTTTCTATCTACATCAACACTATTAGAATATGTGTTTGTACCTGGTCAATACATGCGTCCAGACGGTGTTTATATTGAAAAGTTGAGTCTATATGAATATTGAACTTTATTCATTAGTGCAAAAATGTATACCAATAAATTGTCAGGTACAGATATTGATAATGACAAAAAATCAACAGATTGGGGTCTTATGTATCACCAGAAGGATGGCAAAGTAAAATGTACCAGCCTGAAGAAAAAATTTGATGGTGTGATCAACAACTTTAACCATTGCGATTCACTTCGAATTCATTATATATTACCTGACGTAACTCAAGAACGCACTTCAAAACAATCAAATAGAGGTGGTTGTTATACTGAGAATAATGATATTATTATGTATATTGATGAAAAATTGTTAGAACGCTATTTTCTAACAGAGTATGCATCTTCTTTAAGGGAGATTCTTACACACAATTAATGTAATATTTCAGAACTTCTTATCCAAAACAATATCCTACTGCGATGCTTCCTATTTTTTTTAAATTTGCTTAGATAAGGTCACTCCAATTAATAATTATGAATAACGAGGATTTTTAATAAACACAAAGGTGGAGGAAGACCAAAAAAAAAAAATTTTTTTTTATTAAATGTGAAAAACAATGGGAGGAGAATATTATTTATTAATATTAATTTTATGTTGTTATAAAATTTATTAAAATGATGAAGCAATTATTTATTTTATTATAAAAGATAGCAAATACAATGATACAAGTCTAAACTGGTAAAAAAAAAAATACAAATCATAAAGAGGAATTAATACAAAAGTGTGAAATAAATCACATATTATCCTTTTCTTCCAGAATATAGGATAGTAATATAAAAATAAGAGAGAAAAGAATATATAATTGTGAAAAAAAAAAGATATATATAATAAAAAAAAAAAATTGCGAATAATTTCATTCAAGTATTATAATTATCTTATTACACGTTGCTTTTTTCGCATTTGCAATTTTCCTTTTGTAAAAAAATTTTTACCATTTTCTTGACATAAAGGATATACTATTTAAAATTGAGATGAAAATTCTTATGAAGGTTCAATAAGATTGTCTTACTCATCACAATAGAAACAAATTCGTGAATGTTCAATCCTACATGAATAATATCGATATATCTGCTCAATTGGTAAGTAACAAGTTAGATTCATCCTAACAAAACCTAAGGATGATCATTCAGAACTATGGGTGAACCACACGTATATGCAAATATTTTCATAGCCATTTGCAATGCTTTCTTGTCTGAATCATTTAGCATATGTTGACTAAAAATACAACGTAATTTCGAACAAATTGTGCAAAGAGCAAAGTCATGAACTTTTGTAGCAACTAAAATTCCATTTGGGACAAGTTCCTGACATTAGTAATTATTTTTTTTGCTTGAAGGATCTTTTTCAGTAGTATTGCGTTCATATAATGAATTAAAGTCTTGATAGTGATCAGAATCTAAATTAATTTATAGATAAAATGTTTTAATTCAATGCATAAGTAAAATAACATAATAATAAAAATAAACTTACCACTTAAAATCTGTGGATCTAATATAAAATATAATTGATCAAAATCTCTTGTGATAATCGAATGGAACTGCAATTTAAACATTCATTTTTTCCACATTTTTTGATCTTAAAATAAACAAAATCAGTATAAAATAAATTAAAAAAAATCAAATGTAAAAATAAATTATGAACTAGTATACCTGAAATGAATATTTCTGAATTAAACAATATGACTTGATAAAGTTTTGCAGATCAACACAAGCATGAAGTTTATTTTTTGAAGTGTTATTTTGAGTTACTGTAGGGTCAATCTTTCATCTAATATCTAATTCATATGTAAAAAAAATAATATCAGTAATTGTATAAAATAAGTTTAGTTTAACTTTTCTATACTTATGTCAAATAAACTGTTAATTTCTTTAAAGCTGACCGGATTAATACATTTAAATTTTTGTTCATGTAATTTTAAATGGCTGATCTAATTTTTTAAAACCTCTAGAGTATCCTTAATAGCTGTTTTTAATTCTTTATTTATAACTTGATTCTTTGATGCTTTTTTTCAGATTTCTTTCATTATTTCTAAATTTTTAAAATTTCGTTCAGAATCTGAACTCATATCACTCCTCTTTAAAGCTACATCTTATAATTCAAGATCTATAATTAATATTATACATTCTGCAGGATTTGTTTATGAGTATATAGTGTTGTTCAAACTGCTGCTAAAAAATCAAAGTTTCTTTTCAAAAACAAACAAATCATTGCAATTTGAACAGAGCCAAATGTAATTCAATGATCAGCATTACCATTAGTATAAATAATCATTATTTTAGATAAAATAACATATTTTTTGTGTAGATACTTTAACTACTTGGTAGAATGCCTAAGTGCTGAGCTAGATTGGAAGATAGAATCCTTATAAGCAACATAAATTTATCCTTGATAAAGTTTTTGCTAATATTTTTAGGAATATTATAGAATAATGAAACTGATAGTATTACTAAGAGTTTTGTAAAATTATAGTCACATAATATCAATTCCATATCTGAAAATACTAATGTAGCTTTATTATAAACTCCTGTTAATATTTCAATTGTTTTTCTAATTGGTATTTTATGTTTATTATCTGCTGAAATAAAATAAGTAAAATCACAAAATTTGATAGCAAAAAGTCTAGTATTAAAATAATGCAGTGTAATAATGTGCATCAGGATGAGATTTGTAAAGAAGTTTACTTTGTACTTTATAAGAAATTCTAAATTGACTAAAGTATTACATAGCAGTTTTTGCATAAGTGTTTTTTGATTAAAATTGAAGTTAACCCATTTTTCACTTGAAATTAAAATTGTAAAAAAAGTTTCTTTATCATATTTAACTTGTAAATGTTCTATAATATTTTTACATAATTCTCAAATTGATATTGCAATTGGCATATATATCATTGTTGTATGTTATCATTTATGCACTGCTAAAATAATCTAGTAATAATATAAATATATTTGATATTATTGTCTTGAGCAAAGCGAAGGACTATATATTTCTATATATTGATTAAAATTTGGTTATATAAGCATTTCTCTGTCTGTCACATGATTTTCATCTAATAATTCATTTAGAACTCACAATGGTCTCTCATTTTCTAGTAAATATTATATTAATTAATTAATTAATTGCTGATTCGTCTAAGATCAGCACTATATGTCAATCATTTTATAATAAAATTTGGGGATAATAATGATAATTAAAAAAAGCTATTTTTACATCTCATGTTCATACTAAATTTCTGCCTATAATATAATGATAAAACAATGCTAAATAAACATTAGTCTTATTTCACTAGGTATACTTATTGAAAATCACCATTATAGTCCATATTCTCATTATTGATGGAAGCCTATATCAAATTCTGAAGAGATTACAACTTATTTTCCTATTTGAGTAAAATAAACAACTAAAGCAATGCTCAACAACTTGGAATTTACTATTACAGTGGTTGTTGGCAATAAAGACAATGATAATTTTTTATCAGATTATGTGTATCAGTGTAATAATATCATAAAAGTTGTAAATAATACAACTAATGCAATCTCTGAAATTTATTTCAGGATTTTTGCAACAAAAACTCACTATTCTAGTTTATTAATAATAGGATGGAACAATGAAAATATAAGAAATAAATTGAGTGAGGATGTTCCTTTTACTTCTTGCTCTTTTTACTTGATAAAATAAAAATATTTGTATATGGAGTGGAATATTCAACGTATATAAATTAGTATTATGCTGAACCAGGATATAGATCTTCACTTTTTTGTAATTTTAGTAATAAATAGATGCTATTTGTTTCTAAAATCGAAAAAACTTTATGTACTGTAGAAGTTTATTAAGATCAAAAACTCCAAATTACATATACAAGCAAAAATCCAATTAATGTATGGAAAAATTTAGAATCAATAAAAAAATACAATAGAAATCAACTTTTGGTATTGATAATGATACAATAAAAACTCTAAATCAAAATCAAAAAGGCCAATATGTTTATTTCAAGAATGAAAAGATGATACTATTATAAAAGTACTTTTTGATTTTCATCTATAATGAAGAACTATTGTAAAAATTAATTGGTACCAGTTATTTATAAAATGAAATGAACAAAAAAGTCTTCTAATTGAACTAAATAATGAATTACATAATATATATTCTGAAAATTATCAATTTAATATACAGGAAATAGATGCATGATAAACTTTTCTTCATGTTGCTGGTGCTAATAATGTAACTTCTTGGTCATATGAAGAAAAGGTATTATTGAGAAAGATTTCTAACATAAATTATCTTTTTAAAATTCTACAAAAATTACTAATTATAATATTTTATTTTAGTATCAATTTTGGTCAAAATCTAATCATCCAGAACAAGATCATGCGTTACTTACCCAATTATATCAGATGAAACTTCTTGTCAAAGAAATTCTAAAACCCATTAAAAATTCAACTCTGACCTTTTGGCAATGCTTCAATCATGCATTAGAGGATAACAAAAAGAATTGTGATAAAAAACGCCATGTATTATCTATTATTGCAAATGACTTTACTTATAAAGAATTGCAAGAAAATTTAGACGTAAGTAATTGTAATGCATTAGTAAAAATCAAAATAATTTATCAAAATAATTCAATAATTCTTTTATAAAGGTTAGATAACATACTATTTTAGAATCATGTAAACATGCAAGAATAAATGATTATAAAGCACTATCACTGAATAAACCAAGTTTTTGCCAAGTAAAATTTACAACTGAACAGTTGCAACAATTTGAATTATTTTTTTCTACAAAAGAACATGTCAATATGAGTTCTTATAAAACTGATAATGCAAATAGATTGCTTGTACTTTACTTACAAGATCATAAAAAAGCTTTATGAAATCAATTTTATGAACAATATCCCAATGGAATGTAGAAAACTTCTTTAATGATGAGATTAGATGGCAAATGCTTTATATATAAAGAAAATCTAGGCAGATTTTGTTCAGAATGCAATGAATGTGAATATCAAGTATTTGCAAATATTGAAGAACTAATAAATATCAATATTACAAACCTGGTATTTCAAGTGGGTAAAATCTTGATAATTCCAAATAATTTTTAATATTTAATATTCAAAATTATTCTTACTTCAGTTTTTTTTTATAACAGAATGAATTAGTTGTTATTGCACAAAATTTATAATGTTACCTTAGAAAAGATTATTCTAAAAAATTAAATGTAACAAAAGATGGAATTGTAATATATAATTCTTGTATATCTCATTGCCTTCCATATGTTTTTGGTAATTGTCAAAAAACACATTTCAATACTTACATGGATTGTGAAAATCTTTTCATTTTTTTCAAAAATTTGAAAGATCATTTACCACTGAATCTGCATGAAAATCTTGATAAATATCAGAAAAAATTGATTGCATTCATGTTACATTATGCTCGTAAAATATATCTAAATGCACAATTACCTGCTACTCTTTCCTAATTCAATTTCAATGAGGTTTTGATTATTGTGGATTATAAAATGTGAATTAATCCTAAAAAAGTAAGAGAAATAAAAGATAAATGGTTTGGTAAATGTGGATAAACTTTACATTCCATTTTATTGTATACTAAAGATCAAAATACCAACAATCTCAATGTTAATGCCTTTGATTACTGAAGTGAAGACATCAAGCAAGATGCTTAGTTTACAGCATCCTTTTATATGAAGTAATTGAAACACTTGATAGAAAATTAAAATTTGTAACCATTATTTCTAATAATAGTGAACATTAACATAATACAGAGTTAATGATAATTCTAACATATTGGAAAGAATAGTATGATATTTGCATTAAAAAGTAAATTTTTCTAGAAGCTGATGAGGCAAAAACTGCTATAGATTCACATCATGCTTAAGTAAGCAATTTGTTTTACCTTTTTTAGCTTATATTATAATGTAATCAAAAATTTTCTGTTAAGATTATACATGTTATCAACTGGTATGTTAAACTTGGCTATGAGATTTCTTCTGGTGAAGATATAAAACCTTTAAGCTATTATTATAGTATATTACCTTTAAGCAAACTCTTTTAAAATTAGATTATTTTGAATTATTTTTATAAGCAGTTATTTAACATTCCAAAGAATTAAACTGTAAGAAAAAACTTTTTTTTACTAAATATAATATCATTTTCTAAAAAAGTACTTTAAACTATATAAATAATATCTAATTTAAATTGATCTATAATATTCAAACATAAAAAGTCTACCTATAGAATGCCACTTTAATTACTTTTAAATTATTGTAAAATCTTAATCATAATAAACAAAAATATTATAAATTAATTGTATAATCATGTCAATTTATATCTAATTTTAAATTTATATATTAAAATATAAATACTTTGAATTTATAGTAAAGATCAATTAAAATAAAATGTAGATATTTAGTTAAACTTGCTATCTGATTTTTAAAATTATTATTTCTTAAACTAGTTGTGAAAAGAATTTTTCAATACTTAAATAGATTATTGATAATATTAAATTAAACTTAGCATTTAAAAACTTGAAAATATATTAAAAATTTGATCTTATTATTTAATTAATATCAAAAAGAATTAGTATATTATAAAAAATAATTAATTATTTAGAATTTAAAGGAAATAACAAATGATTATTTAATAGGTAATGTAATAATTTACAATTAGAAAAAAATATTATTTTTAATTCAAATCTTTTTAATATTAATTCTTTTAGTGATATATTAACTTAAAAGATATTACAGTCAACTCTTATTATCATGAACTTTATGTTTTAGATCTCAACTTCGCTATAAAGCTATAGTAAAGATTTTAAGAGATTTGATTGGTTAATTTGCTATAACAAGAGTATTTTTATTATATTTATTCAAAAAATTCATTATATCAAGAGTTCACTATATCAAGTATTAACTGTATAGATCTTTTATTACAACTTTGATAATAATAATGAATTACGTAATGAATAAAAAGTTTAAGATATTATAAATATTTTTAATTTAGAAAATGATCTAGAAAGATTAGTTAATTTTTTTTTCAATATAAAAATAATAGGTAAAATTATAAAAATAATCAAATTTATTAATAAATAAATAATAAATTTTTTATAATAATATTTTTTTATTTTTATATTAATATAATATAAATTTAATAAAATTAAATCTTATAATTGTGATATATAAAAATTATTTAATTATATTATTTATAATATATAGCTATAATTATGATATATAGATGTAATTATAGCATATGATTATAGTTATAACATTTATTTTAGTTATGATATATAGCTATATAGAAGATTTTAATAAAAGTTATAATTTTATTACAGCTTATATATGTTATAATATAAGGCTATAATATTATAATATATCTGCATTTTGAATCAAAACTAATATATATTGTTTAAATAAAATTTTTTTTTTATTAAGTTAAATTTTAATTTATAATCTTTAAAAATAATATTATAATTAGTTACAAATAAATATTATAATATTTAATATTATAATGTTATTTTAATTATTATAGTCTATTGATAATTTTCATTTGAAATTTACTTACTAATAAAAAGAATAAAGTTTATAGTATAATTTAAAAATTATAAAATTTGATTTTATTAAAATAATATGTAAGTTTTAAATTATTTTGAATTATCAACAAAAGATTCAAATTTATTATAATCATTAATTATATATTATTTCAAATTTAAACCATTTATAAACCATGATTTAATATATTTATTTAAATAAAATACATTATTTTATTTAATAAAAATAAGATTTAATTAAAATGTTTTTACTAAAAATTTTTTTTTTTAATTTTGTTTTAATATTTTTTTTTTTTTTGAAAAATATAGATAAAAGTATAATTACTAATAATAAATGTCTTTATTAATTACTTTAATTATTAAAATCAATTATAAAGAATTAAATTTCAAAAGATAATTAACAATATTTTTGATTATTAATATTAAATAAAAAATTTTTTTTTTAATAGTATTCAAAAATATTTTCTTTTTTATTATTACTATTAAAATATTTGATAATCTGATCAACTAATTGAAAAACCACTTCTAATAATACTAATTAAAATTATTTTAATAAAAATAATTAAATATGATATTAATTAAAAACAAGACATAAAGTTTATAGTATTATTTGCATTAAAACAGGTTTTGACTTTTTTAATAGTAAAGATGAACTTTAATTCTTTATCTATTTAATTTGGGAATCTTTATTGAAAAAAAACAAATCTTAAACTTGATTTCGAAATTATATAATTAAAGATTAAAAACTTTCGTATTATTATAATTTGTTTAAGCTAAATAAATAATTAATTATCAGATTCTGAATATTTTCGATAACCAATCCTGTGAAATGTCGAAATTAAAAACGATTAGATTATATTGAAATGCAAATGTTAAAATAAAATAAAACAAAAATTTGATCAATTCACCATTGACATCCATAAAATAAAGATAAACCAATTGTACTAAAGCCGAATTTAATTCTATCAATAGTAGGTTTTTTATATACCCAACCAACCAAGACACCAGCCAAAGCGATATCAACAGCTACGGCAAGAAATACAACGGGTTTTGACATTTTAGAAACTTTGTTACCACCTCTTGTTGATCTTTTACGCGAATTCCCGTCTTCGGGAAACCTTTTTTTAAGTTCATCGACTTCCTTTGAACCCGCCAGAAAGTCTTTATCGTATATAGTTGCATCCCGATTTTCTGAGTAATTATCTTCGGTGGTTTGTTCCTGGTGGTATTTACTTGGGTCATTTTTTTTAATTATAATATCGGCTTCTAAATTTTCAGAAGCATCTCTTTTAGTAACTTCAGCATAAGACGCCATTTCGATTTTTAAAAAAACTTTAAATGAGAAAAAAATGAAAAATTCGTTGAATATATATATAGATTTAATAAAATTATTAAGCCACAGAAAATCAGTGATGTATCATCGTTACTTCATTCATTTCGGAATAAGGTTACCAAAATATTTCGTAATTATGATAATTCTGGCACGTGTGATTGCCAATTAATTATATCATTACCTCACCGAGATAATTTTATTTTATTTATTTTCGAATCTTTCCTTATCGATCGATCATATACCAAAATATACATATTTTTATTTTTATTTTTTTATTCTTTATTTTTTTTTTTTTTTTTACAAATCTTATGGAATCAGCAATAACCCGATTAATTACTCTCTTAAAATCATCATCAAAATCAAAAACTTCAAAATCATCCTTAAAATTCAAATCATCTTTAAAATCCAAATCTTCAACTTTAAAATTATCTTTACCATCATCATCTTCTTCTTCATCTTCCATCATTTTACCAATTCAACGACCAATTATATCACATCTATCACCGACATATCTTGAAAATTCATCTAAACCGTCGCAACACTTATCTCAACCTAAACAAAAGTTAATAATACTAGATATCAATGGAACATTAATATATCGAGATAAAAATTTTGGATCGAAATATCCGGTCGGTAAAATTCATTTACGCCCAAACCTAAATGATTTTTTAGACTTTTTATTTTCTAATGAAGATTATTTTAAAATAATGATTTGGTCTACAGCTAGACCTATGACCGTTTATTATTTAGTAGACAAAGTTTTTGATCATCATAAAACTAAATTATTAGATATTTGGACAAGAGATAAATTAGACTTATCTAAAGTTGAATATTTTGATAAATCTCGTAATATTGTGAAAAATTTAAATAAAATTTGGCAATCCGAGGAAACATGGAATCAAATGAATACTATTTTAATCGACGATTCTTTGCTTAAGGCTAGACTACAACCTTTTAATGCTATACATCCAATTTCATTTAGGAAAAAGTTTCAACATGAAAATGATGATGAATTATTAAAGGTTATGGATTATCTTAATAAATTAAAATATCAAAGTAATGTAAGTTTTTTTATTAGACATAGCCCTTTTAATATTTATTAAAAGTAATAAAAATTGATTCTTTGTTTAAAATACAACTAATTTTTTATTATTATAAAATAATTGATCTAATAATATTAATTAAATTCAGTACAATTTTCACTTTCTATATAAATACAGACTCATAAAATTTTCATTATTCAACATAATCCCAAAGATGACAATCTTCACATTCGTCATCATTTCTACAATCAGGAAATAATTCGAAAAGTTTCCACCAAACTTTCAAAATATTATCAATAATTTCCTGAATACGATGTCTCTTAATATTAACACTCCACTTTAATTTCTCTACTGTATCAAAAGTACATGCAATTCCAGCATGACACTTTGTTTCCATCTATAAAAAGAAAAGTCGTGAGCTAATGAATAATGCAAAAAAAAAAAGGTCCGGAACCAAGTTATTGCACTTACAGCGTATCCACCAATATAGCATGTACTTGCATAACCCTATGAGCGTCAAAAGTCCCTATTAAATTCAGAATTCTTAATTGAAAATGATTATAAAAGTTAATCAACTTACATTACATGACCCCATATAAATAGGATCAGCCGTGTGACCAAAATGATAAATATTCATTTTATCCCATGGTATGGCCGGTGGGTGAGGTAAATGTAATAAACCTGCTGCCCTCCTTTCTCCAGGTGATTCAAATGCTACCACAGGTAAATTATATGTTAGTCCCATTAAAGAAGAAAGTGCTCCTCCGAGTGAATGACCTATTAGCCATATATGTGATTTGGGATAATCATTGTAAATTTTATTAACAAGTTTCTAAAAAATAAATATTAAATGAATTGTTAAAAAAAAATATTATATATATATAAGAAAGATATGCAGATTGTTTATATACTTTGTATTTACCAAAGTAACGTCATAATATAAGCTTTCTCTGTCCACGCTGCTTTGTAAACAATCTTTGTCGCAGCTGTAGCCGCCCAAATAACAATCACAAACTGGAGTCCATGTACGATCTACTTTAGCACAACAACAAGAAAACAAAAGGTTATCCTGAATATATGAATAATTTATATTAGTAAATCGCATGGTAAATTAATTTACGGATTAAGAAGATAACTTACATTAACTTTGTCTCTGGGAACAGTTGGACCAGCACCAAATCCCATACTGGTTCCTTTAATAGAAATGATTAATGTCTTATTGTCTGATGAAGCAAAGACATAACCTCGGATACCATCTTCGTCCCATCCAAACGTATCATTCTATGGTTAAGTAGGCAATGAATTTTCAAATGAACATATTGATTCATAGATAGGGTATTCTAAAGCTATAGGAGGTAGGAATAAAAAGAAAAATAAAAACAAACACACCGTTCTATATTCTTCACCAAGATCATACCAATCAGATTGACCCATCTCGATGTAAGCATTATATGTCATCTTAGCTAGATTGATTAAAGTACTCCAACTCCTTATAGCAGGTAACCATTTTTTTATATCTCTCCAATTCAGCTTAGATGACTTGAGTTCGTTCATTGATATATTCCTAAACTCTTCTACGGCATTTTCTTTTTCATATTCAAAACCGGTGCCATTTACACCCATGACATCATAAGTGAAAGACGTGCCGGAGGCGAGTTCCTGAGTACGAAGATTTTCTTCTGTTACGTCCAAACGACGAAATAAATTAGGAAACTTTGAAGTGCCATGGTGAAATATATGTTTCAAAGAGACGGTTATTGTTTCCCCGTTATCTAACGCATTAACATGCTTCAAGATATCTGGATCAGTTGCTTCTATAGTACAGGGCAAAAATAAGAAAGAAATTGACAATAGAAAAATTGAAATAAAACTAAATTCATTATAAATAAGACTTTTAAAAGCCTTCATGTGGATCTTTTTTGATAAAAAAGAAGTTGAAAATTTGAAATTAACGTGGAAAAAAAAGTGTGTCGTTTTCTAGCAAGTTCTAATTATATATATGATTTATTACGTGATTACGTAACTCAAAAAATGGTTTTATGATTTTATGATAATAACCTAATCAGGAATAAGGCATACATTAATAAAACAAGTTTTTTGAACCGATTTTTGAAAACATAAATTTAAACAAAGAATTTTTGAATAGGGGGTGGGCCCCACGATTTTTTATGGCACGTGACAATTAACCAATAATAATCACAGATCAGCGGAAAAAATTAATATAAAATCTTTCGAGTAGAAGGACAATTTAAGTTTTGATTATACATCCAATAATTAAGTTACTAAGATAATGGAATTTTCCGAACTGGACGAATTTTGGGATAAAGTTACATTACAACTTCACGTAATTATATATGGTTGCCTATCTCTTCTTATGCGGTAAAAAGGAGTTTTTCCGCATATAATAAAATTTTAGATGATAATAGGCAAAATTTAAGTCCGGGATCACTTGAATATCTTACTATGATGTATTTTTAATAATCAAATAGTAATAATCGTGATAAAATTTTTCGGGTCTCTGGCCCCAACGCTTAAATTAAATCAGAAGATCTCGTGACTTCTGTAAGGACATAAATTGTCATGCACGTTTATACCCTTTTAGGATCATCGAAAAATTTTTTAAAAAATGTGGTTACGCAGAAAAATCGGTCACATGGTATTAACTCGTTTCGCGTTAAAATCTAGAACTTTAGTTGAAATCAAATCTTTGAGACTAGAAAATCATAGTTCTGTGTCATTTCATATCACACCGTTTCCTGCCTTTAAAATGCCGAAACAAGCTAAAGTCAGGTAAGAATATTTTATTTTATTATTTATTTAAATACTTTCCATTGTTTAACGAGTCGCGTCTTGCTTCCTATCAAAGTAATTTTTTCAAACGAGAGCTAAACGAATCTATTTCTTCAAAAAATGGAAAAAAAGAGACAAAGAAAAAACGTATCATCGTTGCTTCCGATGAAGAATCAGATAATGGAATTGATATTAAAAAGGTCAAGCTTGATAATGAAAATAATGAAAATGATATGGAGGTTGAAAATGAAGAAAAGGAAAAGAAAGCCATTAAAGCCTCGGTCAAAAAATTGTAAGATTTGTCATTTTATATTATTTATACTTTGCAAATTTCGTAATTAAGTTTACACGTAAAATTATGTGATCAGGGTTGACCAAAAGAGCATGAAAGATGTTGCTGATTGGCAAAAAGGTGAACCGTAAGTATATCACCGTCATTATAAATATTTTACGAAAGTATATTTTATCATCATATTCATTTATCTTTAGTATTCCATACTCAGCGCTATGTAAAACTTTTGAAGATATCGATTCAACCACAAAACGCCTAGAAATTCAAGAATATTTAACTTCATTTTTCAAGTGTGTAATCGAAAAAAGTCCAGAAAATTTGTTAGAAACCTTATATCTCTGTCTAAATAAGGTAGGATCTCATAAGCCAATTAAGATAATTGTTTTGTATATACAGATTGTATTTTTTATAGATTATTTAATTATGAATTTCCTCATCTCAGGTTTGCCCTGAATATGAAAACGTGGAGTTAGGTATTGGAGAATCTTTGTTGATAAAGGCAATTGCTGGAGTAACAGGAAGGTCACCACAAAAGGTCAAAGATGAGCTAGCAAAAGTAGGGGATTTGGGAAAAGTCGCCAAGGTAAGTTGGAAAATTATTTCATAGCAAATTGTTAAAGTTATGTTTAATACTTTAAATTTGGTTTACGTTTTCAGGATAGTAAAAACAGTCAGAAAAGTATATCAAGCATGTTTGGTAGCGTAGATAAGCCTTTAACAATCCCCGGAGTCTTTAAATCAATGAAAAAGATCGCCTCTTTATCTGGACATAGTGTAATACCTATTATCCTTAGTTTTAAATATAAATAGATCTACGATTTTTGAATTTATGACATATTTTTATGATTACTTTTTTTTTAAGTCGCAAGATTCTAAGGTAAAAGAAATCCAAAACTTGCTTAAATCTTGTAGAGGTGATGAGGCAAAATTTTTAATCAGGTGAGTCGATTCATAAAATTTACGTGATTGGTGTGTATTTACACTAACAAAAAAAATTTTACGTTTGAAATAGATCTCTCGAAGGAAAACTTCGCATTGGATTAGCCGAGCAAACGGTTTTGATTTGTTTGGCACAGGCGTTCGTTATTACCGATAATGGTTAATAATAATAATATTGTTATTATTATAAATCAAAACATGATAATTTAACTTTTAAATAATTTTTTTAGAATACCAAAAACTAACGAAAGCTAAAAAAGCTGAGGAATTAACGGAAGCACCTAACATTATCAAGTCCGTGTATAGGTTTGTATCTTTTTTAATGGCTTAATATCAAGTTTATAACTCATGTCAAGGCTAATATTTGATATCGCGCCTAAAGTGAACTTCCATCATATGATAAGATTGTTCCCGCTTTATTGCAAAGTGGTGTTAGAAATCTAAGGGAACATTGTAAATTGACACCTGGTAATGAGAAATCCTTTAATGATCATGAAATGATTCATAACAAATAATAATAACCCTATTATTTACTTAAGGTATTCCACTTAAACCTATGTTGGCTCATCCGACAAAAAGTATTACCGAAGTTCTTAATAGGGTGGAGGGACACAAGTTTACTTGTGAGTTCAAATATGATGGTGAACGTGGACAGGTATGTGACTATGTAAATAACGTGTAAAGTATTGGGACGTTCATTTAAAAAGCATTTTTATCGTTATTATCTAGATTCATAAACTTGAAGATGGGAACATTAAGATTTATAGCCGCAATTTAGAAGACAATACTTTCAAATATCCGGATGTTATTGAGAGAATATCAAAGGTGAGTTGTCAAAGAATATGATTATATAATAACAAAACTTTAAATTATTTCTACCATTCTTTAATAGGCTGTAAACCCTAATACCAATTCGTTTGTACTTGATTGTGAAGTTGTAGCATGGGATTTAGAAAAACATAGCCTTCTTCCTTTTCAAGTTTTGAGTACACGTAAAAGGAAAGATGTCATAGAATCCGAAATAAAAGTCACAGTATGTCTATTTGCATTTGATTTGCTGTATCTGAATGGAGAGGTTAGTAAGCCATAAAAATTACAACTTAAATCATGTATATATAAACACGTAATGATAATCGTTGTGTTTACCAATTTATAGTCGCTTCTTAAGAAACCTCTTAAGGAAAGACGCGAACTTTTGCACGACTCGTTTCAAAAAGTTGATGACGAATTTTCCTTTGCGCAACATATGAATGTTTCAAATACGGAGGAAATACAGGCTTTTCTAGAAGAAAGTGTTAAAGTAAATTGTGAAGGTCTAATGGTGAAAATACTTGATGGTGCGGAATCAACCTATGAACCTTCGAAAAGGTCGAGGAATTGGTTAAAGGTAAACTCATTTCTTTCACGTATAAACTATTCATGTTCTTTTATCTAAGAAATCTCGGTTTAATTTTTTGTAATCATTAAGTTAAAAAAAGACTATCTCAGCGGTGTAGGAGACTCTTTAGACTTGGTTGTAATAGGCGCATTTTACGGGCGTGGAAAGCGTACAAATGTTTATGGCGCATTCCTTCTCGCTTGTTATGATCCAGAAAATGATGAATACCAGACTATCTGTAAGATTGGTACCGGATTTTCCGATTCTGATCTAGAGACACATTTTCAGTATCTAAAAGAGAAAGAAATGTCTGAACCCAAAAGTTATTTTAATTATGACAAGGCGACCAAACCTGATGTTTGGTTTGAACCTTGTCAAGTTTGGGAAGTCAAGACGGCAGATCTTAGCATCTCTCCAATTTATAAGGCGGCGATAGGACAGGTATGATTAGATTTTAGGAAATTCATTAGAACACGATATTTGAACATGATTTTTTATTTTTGTAGGTTGATTCATCTAAGGGTGTGTCTTTACGGTTTCCTCGTTTCATTCGAATACGTGATGATAAAAAACCAGAAGACGCAACTACCAGTGAAGGGGTAATAGCGATTATTTAAATATCAAAACATCTTTTTTATATCTACATCTATTTATATTAACTTACTGTTGTCATTAGATTGCAGAAATGTATCGAAAACAGTTTAATAACAATAACGATAACGATATTGAATAAGTCACTCACAGTTTAGTGATTGTATAGAAATATAATGCTAAAATGGATTAATAATGTAAGCAAGGATGGGTTAAGGAGTTAAAGAATTTTGATAAATAAATAATATAATGACAAACACGAATTATAGTGATAATCCATACATTTTATTTTTTTTTTTTTGATTATCATTAAACTTGCATAATGTAATAAATTATCACACTGAAACTTTTACGTGTATATTGTTAGCTTTGAAAGGATTCTTTCATCTAAGGTTGGTTCATCTAATGTTCCTTTAAAAAATTTTTCTTCATCTTTACCGAGATTTAAATCATCTTTTTTAAATTTTCTTGTATTTCCAAGAGCTATCTTCACCACATCTTCGGAAACTGTTTCAAATTCTTTATAAGAATTAAAAGCATAATAGAGTCTTAAAGGAATATTTTTCCAACCAATTCTATTATAAAATCGGACATAACCTATTGAGTCTAACTCTGGTACAGAAAATTCATCTTCATTAATGGTGAATTCAATTTCTGGTTTTTCAGATTTGTTATCACTGTCATCGCTTTGCTTAACAATTTCCTGTGAGACTTGTTCATCCTTTGATGCATCTTGTGAAGCATTTGAATCAGATTTCGATTGCTCAGGAGAAGGATCTTCCAAAGAAGCAATGCAGCCATCATTTAATCCTTGTAAATATTCAACCAAACTTACTCTACCTACAATTATAGTACCATTACCAATTGGTTTTGAAGCTGTTATGGTTTTAAATGGTTGATCAGAATCCGATAATTGATTCGATAAAGATGATTGTTGTTGTGATGATGGTAATTCTTTTTTACGTTTTTCTCTTATTGCGTCTCGTACTTTTGAACGAAGTTGTCCTGGCCGCGTACCTTCAACGATATCATATTCCAAAGCAGCAGCATTGAGAACGGGCTAAATTATTATGGGTGAGAAGTTTTTTTTTTAAAAAAAAGAGTTTAGGTTACAAAAAAAGATAATAAAGAGAAATTTTCAATATACCTTTACATACTCACGGAAATGTATTTTAGTTTTATATATATCATCACCTAAGGGACGGGCCAGGTAAACGGTCACTTTTCTAGGCAAATCATGTACGTTTAAAGGCTCCAAAGCTAAATGAGAAACTTTTTTTTCCACACGAGATTTAAATTCATCTGATAATTTATTATCTCGATAAATTAATGATATTATACCAGCACAGGTACCAAAAAAACCTAACACTTTTTTTGAAGGTAATTTAGGCAATTTAAATTTTGAGGCCATTTTTAATTTTTTTTTTTTTTAAAAAAAATATTATTATTGAATGGAAAAAATTTTCGAGATAAAAGATAATCTTATCGTAGATCCCCGTAGATCTTTTTCGATTTGATTTATTGACTAATTACTTGTCATGGAAAAAAAAAAAAAAAACTCGTTTTGTTTTTTCAATGGCTATACTGATTTATTTTAGCACCTCGTGTTACGTCAAAAAGTATAAATAAATTTTCTTTCTCTGCTTTGAAAAAAAAAAAAAGGCACAGGATCGGCAATTAAAAATTTGATACCTTTAAGTAGCGATAGGAAGTGCCGGATCAATAGTAGAATAAATCGAATAAGAATAAAAAATGTCGATTAATAAAAAGAAAACATTTTCATTAGAATCAGTAGTTCGACCAAATATATTAGCACTTAAACCTTATAGATGTGCTCGAGATGATTATTCGTCGGGAATATTATTAGATGCGAATGAAAATTCATTTGGAATGATATTGCCAAAAAATGAGATTCAATTAACTTTTCATTCTAAAGAGGATAAAGAGAAGGATGATTCCGGGATAGAAAAACTTCATAGATATCCTGATCCCAATCAAGTGAATATTAAAGAACGATTAATGAAATTTAGAGGGTTACCTAGTATCGATTACTTTTTTTTAGGGGTGGGATCGGATGAATGCATTGATTTAATTATAAGGATATTTTGTGTACCAGGAAAAGATAAGTTATTGATTACGCCACCTACTTATGGAATGTACTCGGTCTGTGCTAATATCAATGATGTTGGTATTGTTAAGGTTAACTTGGATGTTGAAGATGGTAAATTTCAATTAAAAACTGACGAGGTGATGACCGATTTTTTATTTTTTATTTATTTCCTTTCTTTAAAAGTTTTTGATTTTTCTAAATTTTTTTTTTTTTTTAAAAAAAAAAGATCTTGAAAGCCGTAAGGGAGAATGAGGATATCAAGATGATTTTTTTATGCTCGCCGGGAAATCCGACGGGCACAGTGTTATCACATGAATCAATTAGACCAATATTAGAAGATGAGAATTATAATGGAATAGTGGTTATAGATGAAGCTTATATTGATTTTGTTGAAGAAAAGAATCAAAATGGTAGCTTGGTTAAATGGGTGACACAGTATCCTAACCTTGTCATCATGCAAACTTTAAGCAAAAGTTTTGGATTAGCCGGCATTAGGTAACGTTTTACCCTTTTTTTTTTTATTTTCTTTCTTGATTCTTTTCGAATGAAAAGTAATGGGTTTTCAAAGTTAAAATTCATGTTAACATCCCCTCCCCCTTTCCTTTTCATGTATGTAATAGACTTGGTATATCAATTGCAGATCCACGCATAATTCAATTAATGAATAACACCAAAGCGCCATATAACATAAGCGCATTAACATCGCACGTAGCGTGTACGGCGTTATCAACACAAAACATTTCAAACATGAAATTAATCAAACAGCAGATTCGTGACGAGCACATGAAACTTATTTCCTCGATTCTAACAATACCTGGGATCGGAAAAATCCTTGGAGGAAATGATGCAAATTTTATATTGGTACAAATATTGGATAGGAATAATCAAAACGTTAATAATGATAGAGCGTATCATATTTATCAAGAAATGGCGGAGAAACATGATATCGTCGTTAGATACAGAGGAAATGAAATTGGATGTGAAGGATGTTTGAGAATTACAGTTGGTACACCAAAAGAAAATGAATTATTATTAAAAACGTTAAATGAATTACTTGGGGTGATCTTGTAGAGTTCATCTATTGTAAATTTGTTCAAATATTTATTTAAAAAAAAAAAAAAATAAAATAAAAAAAAAAAAAATGATTTTTTTTTTTTGGTGTAAAGTTCTTTTTTGTATAAATCAACGCAATCATATGTATGCATAAGATTTATCATCGTTAGAAGTAATTTGACTACCGCTACCACCACTATTTCTATTACCAGGTTTATAGATAACCTTGCCACCCATTCCGGAAAGATCAGCGGTTAAATTTTCAACGCTACCGAATTTATTATAATAATCAACCGAAGCGACACTGTTGGTGGCGCTTAAATGTGAAAAAGAGTTTGAACCAAAATAATCATCGTCTTGATGTACGCTAACAGAATGAGTTTTGGTAATAACGATGCCTGATCCATCACTATTTTCTTGAGATTGCATGATTGACCCTGATGAAGAATTTGTACCAATACTTCCGTTACTATCTTTAACTAGACCTCCTCTTAATGATGTTAAACTTCTTCCCACTGATGGACCGTCGCACAGACTACGATTACTGATTTTTCTTGTAGGCGCGGGGATGAAATAATTAGGTGGTTTTGATTGTAATCTCTTACGTCTGCGTCTAACCCATATTACCAATGATATCGCTATTATCGCTGATAAGAATGATGCACTTAATCCAATCGCTAACGCGACAGAATTTTTGTTTTTTGAATTTTTATCTGTTGGTTAAGAGATCAAGGAAGGAAAAAGAAAAAAAAAAAACTTTTGAGCATATTTGGAGAAGTAGAAACAAACTTTTTTTTTACTTTTTTTTAAAAAAAAAAGGGTTTCAACTAATTTACCTGACTCGTCGGTCGTTGGTGGTACCTTGGGAGTTACAGGTACAGGTTCAACTACGGGTGCTTTCGATGGTAACACTGTCGACACTGTCGGCACTGTCGGCGGTACTTTTTCAACATCTTCATCCGGTGATGGTGGTGGTGAAGGTGGTGATTCATTATTTTTATTACAAACATCATTACCTAAAAAACATGTATTTGTACAAGGACCAGCCAGTCTATTATATTCACAAACAAAGTATGAAACCGTATTTTCGTAATTATCTAAATTTGGAGGATAACCATCTGAACATAAACAATTTACTAATAAATTTAATTGGGAACAAGTATTTGACGCTGGTATAGTTTTCCTATTTTTACATATTGCAAGACACGTTTCAATTGTGGCACTACACCATTGATCCTTTAATGCGGGATCTACCGTTGTTGCTATTATCGGAACAAAAAAAAAATGAAAAAGAGGAGACACTTTAAGCTTAAATTCGAATGAACTTAAAAAAACAAGCTTGATTATTATTAAGAATACTCACCATGTGATGATGGTTGTTGTGCTTTGCTCTGGCTACATATTAATACGGAAATTATTAAATACGATAAGATTTTTTTCATTCTACTGCTATAAAATGCTCTAAAGTTAACTATTATTAAAGTTTTTTTTTTTTTTATGTTATATAATATAATATTATAGTTTTATCAATAAAAAATGATTCGGGTCCAAGTAAATAGGGATAAAAAATAAGGGAAAAGGAGCGATTTAACTTTTATTAAATTTGTATTTAAAAAAAAAGAAAAGAAGTTTTAAAATCAAAAAAAGAATTTCTGTTCTGATATAACAAATAATGTATATATATATACTGTAAGGAGTATATACACATATATGTAGTGTTCCCAGGGCGAACCATCCGGGTTGAAATGATGGTTAGTGTGCTGCCGTTATGATTAGTTGGCAAAAAAAAGTAAATAAATATATTATCATTTTTCTTGTAGGGATCATTTTTCATAATTTCATTTCTTATACCTTACACTCCAATAAATAAACATAATGTTAATTAGATATTTCCTTTATTAGAATTTCATTTTCCAATAGTTATTTCTAACCGAAATGGTAATTGTATAAATACCATGGTGATATGTAACACTAATTGTTTAGAAATTTTGACACTTGATTAAGTTCCCCCCTTTTTTTAGATTATTCACCATAAATAGATGTAAATATCTTAATCTGCCCACATAAAAAAACAACTCTAATGCTTACTGTACACGAGTTCCTTTTTTTTTTTTTTTTTTAACGATGTGGTACTGTCATAAGTTTATTATTTATGTTAAAAAATTACAAATAAACTGTACACGAGTTCCTTATGTGCATTTAAATTATTTTAATTTATTTTGTTTTTTTGAAACGTTAAAAAAAGTCAATTTCCCACCTTGGTTCATTAATGAATTGCATTGTATAATTACCAAAAATGTTTTATTTATTAGTAACCTGTAACTCGAACGCGTTTTGTATTAAAATTTTGTTTCACAAATCTATCACGTGTAACTTTTTTTTTTCCTTCTTTTTCTTCTCTTAAATAACTATGTTAATTGAAAAATTACTAATTGCAAACCGTGGAGAAATTGCGTGTAGAGTGATAAAAACTTGTAACCGGTTAGGAATTTCAACGGTTGCCATATACTCCGACAGGTATTATATATCATGTTTATTCGAACTTTGCTAATTAAAATTTTAATTTTAATTTTTTTTTTTTTTTTTTAAAAAAAAAAAAGTGACCGAAATGCTCTCTTCGTAAAGTTGGCGGACGAAGCTATTCACATCGGTCCTTCACCTTCGATAGACTCATATTTAAACGGGAATAAAATCATCGAGGTAGCTAAACGCGTTGGAGCAGACGCCATTCATCCCGGTAAAATTCATTAACGTGCAATTCCTTTTCAAAATGTTTTTTTTATTCATTTTTTTTAAAAGTCAATCCTTTTTTTTTTTAGGTTATGGATTTTTATCGGAAAATGCTGAATTTGCAAAGTCAACCGTCGATGCGGGAATTCGTTTTATTGGTCCTTCGCCCGAATCTATTTTAGCTATCGGTGACAAGGTAATAATAAATACGAGGGAATTTTTTTTTTTTTTTTTTTTTTTGTTAATAAAAATCAATGAATTAGATTTTCGCCAAAAATTTACTTGCTGAACATCTTCCATCCGTTCCTCTTATACCCGGATATAATGGTTCGGATCAAAGTATAGACGTGTTAGTGCGTGAAGCTCTTAAAATCGGTAAAATCATCACATATGAATTATATGAATTATAGTACTACTGCAATATAAATTCGAGTCCCACATGATTAATTTCAATAATTCTCGGCGTAGGGTTCCCTGTATTATTAAAAGCTTCGGCTGGTGGGGGAGGCAAGGGTATGCGCGTTGTTCGAGAATCAGAGTAGGTTGTGTATGTTTAACAAAATATTCCTTATCGTACTTTTTTAATTATACTAAAGAAGGAATTTTTTTTTTCCTTGATTATATATAGTATATCTAGATTACATGATGAAATAGAACTTGCAAAATCGGAATCACTTAGATCATTCGGTTCGGATAAATTATTAATAGAAAAATATTTTGATACAATACGACATGTTGAAATACAATTAATGGGAGATAATTATGGTAACGTTTACCATTGTTTTGAAAGAGATTGTTCAATACAACGTCGTCATCAAAAAGTCATCGAGGTGCGTAGAAAGTGTTTCTATTTTGATTAATAATGATAAATTTATTACAAGCGTCGGTTTTTTTAAATTGTAGGAAACACCTTCCCCCCACTTAGATTCAACCCTAAGAGAGAGCATGACCGCGGCAGCTATACAAATTGGTAAATTTCTTAAATATCAGGGAGCCGGTACCATTGAATTTATTGTGGTAAGTGTAGTTGTCTTAACTAACAGATGGAAATTGGAATTTAAGGTTTAAACCTACTCATGAAAAAAAAAAAAATTCTTTTCCCTTATTAAAGGATGAAGGTGACAACAAATTTTATTTTCTTGAGATGAATACGCGTTTACAGGTTGAACATCCTATTACGGAGTTAACGACAGGATTGGATTTAGTCGAATTACAAATATTAGTGGCACAGGGTATACATTTATTTATATGCTTTAACTTGTTTATTTGATTTGATTTTGATATTTTTGATCGTTTAATGAAGTTCTCTTATTTTTCCCTAGGATATGATTTATCACAATCGCAATTACCTACATTGAAATTAAATGTAAGATGATTAAATTATTCTTGTACCAACTCACGATCATCATGAAATTTAATTTAATATTTCGCATTTAACTTTATTAGGGGCATGCTATTGAATGTAGACTTTATTCAGAAGATCCAAACAACAATTTTCTTCCAAGCACAGGTAAAATACGATATTGGAAACAATTGTTGGTGTCAAGTATTCGTTATGATACTGGCGTGGAAACAGGTATTCTTTTCTTCTTTTTTTTTTTAAAAAAAAAAAAAACATTGGGTTAAAAACTCTTATGCTTCTTACATATAGGATCCGAAATATCTATATATTATGATCCATTAATATCAAAAATATCAGTTTGGTCACCAACGAGACCTCAATCTATACAGATTATGTCATTTGCGTTACAGAGTACAATAGTGTTGGGTTTAATAACAAATCAATCATTTTTATTAAGTATAATTAAAAGTCCTGATTTTATCAATGGTTTTTATGATACGTTGTTTATAGAAAAACATGACTTTTTTGTTCAACAAGGAGACCTTTCTTTTCACTTAAAAGAGAGAGAATTAATCATTGTACCATTTTTATGGTTATGGTATCAAAGAGAGAGAAATCGTACTACGTTACGACATGTCCCATCAGGATGGCGTTATTTGAAAAGTAAAAATCCGATAGACGCGTATTACATAAATCATCTTAATGAAAATACTTTATTGGAATTGGAATATGAGTATCATAGAAATATCGATGGATCATTTATTGACGATACGGATCATAAATTTAGTATTTGTATTAAATCAGGAGAAGGAAAAAGAAAAAGTGTAGTCTTACATGGGATCATGATGAATGAAAGTGATGGTAGGTCATTTTCAGGGTAGAATTTTAGTTAATGGTGAAAAGAAATCAAACAATATTCTCTCTCTCCCTTTAGATAATACTTATG